CTGGCTCAGCAGGTTGCAGGCCCGGCGCTCCAGGTCCGACCCGGGGAAGCTGAGCTGCAGGTAGTGGATCAGGCGTCTCAGGCAGCTGTAGTCCGGAGGCTTCCAGAAGTCCTCCGAGTACTGATCCAACCAGGCGCCCAGGATAGAGGAGACGGTGCTGCGCACGAGAAGACACAGAACTAGCCAAACACACTCGTATCAGTCGAAATAAGCAATTTCAATCATGACTAGGGTTGGGAATCGAAAATCAATTCCAATTCCAGAATCGAATCCTTAAGGTCAGGAATCGGATACTTGTTGTAAAATTAAAATTCCACTCATCAATTCCTGTGCGCGCATCTTTTATTTTTAGCTGGAGAAAAGGAGCTGTTAAAAATGTATTTGTCTTTGAATCATTCATTCAAGAGATTCATTCAAAATCACTGATTCATCCAGTAATGAAACGAGTCAATCTTGAGTGAGTCATTGAATCATTCATTCATTAATTCCATCAGATTTTGTTTAGTTGTCTAATATTGTTTCTTCAGAATTGTGAGAGAACTACAACCTCCATTAAAAACAAGTCTCTATCTATCCAGAATCGTGCCGCTCTATATTACACACAAACAGCTCTTAATCGAGTCAGTTTTTATGCAGCCGGCTGATTTTGATTCATGGTGTTCAGCAGCAACTAAATGTTTTGACAAAATAAATATGTTTGATATCTAAATGTTTGACTTCATTCTTGTTTAACCCCATTGGAATCGAAACTGGGAATCGATAAGAATCGGAATCAGAATTGATCAAATTCATACGATAGCCAACTCTAGTAACAGCTCTTCATCTGATCAGGAGTTAGTTAATGACGTTCCAGTGTTTCCTACAGCGCTACTCAGCATCATTCTGTTGCGCTGCACTCTCTGCATGAACACAGTGCTGAATCTTCAACAACTGACTCTTATGAGACGATGTTTTGTGATGAATCCGTCAAACACTTTCACAAATAAGTCTGTAATTCACAAGCAAGTTTAAATCATTAGGGATGCATCCAATCATTTTGGCCAATAGCTGATGCCGATACCGATATATATTTCCCTTTGTTTTGAAACAACACCAGGTCTCTCCTGTGCGGAAATGATAATCAAACTATTTTTAATTTTGGTTAGTTTTGAGCAAAAACTTAGTTAGAACTAATAAACATTATTAATGTTATTTTTTAATAAGAGTACATTGAAATCCTTGAAAATATCTATAATAAAATCAATCTGCTGTTTTTCCCCCCAGTCATATGCAGTTGAAACCTTAATATTTTATTTGTGGATTTAACATTAATAGATAATCTAAACTAAAAGAGCTGTAAAACTTATAAAATCTTTTGGAGCTCCTTGTATTTAAGTGTTCATAATCCATTTGAAAAAAAAAAAAAAAAAAAGACATATTATTCACACAAACTTTCCAGAATACTGAGTCATTCATTAATTCCATCAGATTTTGTTTAGTTGTCTAATATTGTTTCTTCAGAATTGTGAGAGAACTACAACCTCCATTAAAAACAAGTCTCTATCTATCCAGAATCGTGCCGCTCTATATTACACACAAACAGCTCTTAATCGAGTCAGTTTTTATGCAGCCGGCTGATTTTGATTCATGGTGTTCAGCAGCAACTAAATGTTTTGACAAAATAAATATGTTTGATATCTAAATGTTTGACTTCATTCTTGTTTAACCCCATTGGAATCGAAACTGGGAATCGATAAGAATCGGAATCAGAATTGATCAAATTCATACGATAGCCAACTCTAGTAACAGCTCTTCATCTGATCAGGAGTTAGTTAATGACGTTCCAGTGTTTCCTACAGCGCTACTCAGCATCATTCTGTTGCGCTGCACTCTCTGCATGAACACAGTGCTGAATCTTCAACAACTGACTCTTATGAGACGATGTTTTGTGATGAATCCGTCAAACACTTTCACAAATAAGTCTGTAATTCACAAGCAAGTTTAAATCATTAGGGATGCATCCAATCATTTTGGCCAATAGCTGATGCCGATACCGATATATATTTCCCTTTGTTTTGAAACAACACCAGGTCTCTCCTGTGCGGAAATGATAATCAAACTATTTTTAATTTTGGTTAGTTTTGAGCAAAAACTTAGTTAGAACTAATAAACATTATTAAAGTTATTTTTTAATGAGAGTACATTGAAATCCTTGAAAATATCTATAATAAAATCAATCTGCTGTTTTTCCCCCCAGTCATATGCAGTTGAAACCTTAATATTTTATTTGTGGATTTAACATTAATAGATAATCTAAACTAAAAGAGCTGTAAAACTTATAAAATCTTTTGGAGCTCCTTGTATTTAAGTGTTCATAATCCATTTGAAAAAAAAAAAAAAAAAAAGACATATTATTAAATAAATCTGTATAAATTAAATTCTTAAAATCTGTATAAATTAAATTTACAAGTGTCATGTTTGTGATTTTTATTCATTTAAGCTACAGCTTCTGACCTTTAAATCAAAACAGATTCATGACTTTATGACATTGATACGGTTTTATTTATTCAGAAACTCAAGTATCTTAATGATATTTGTGTATTTTACTTTCATTTTATTACATTTAGTACCCCCTAAGTAAATAAAACGCGAATCACTATCACACCCTGAGCACATGTGAGCTCTTCGTCTTATCGGCAAGACATATCGGTATAACTTATTTCAAATCGGCCGATATTTACATATTAAGCCTTTATCGGATGAATCCGAGAACGTTTCTATAATATTGTCCATCCCTAAAAATAACCAGTATGAATACAGTGATAACCAGCGTGAAATACTTCTTTAAATCAATACATCGTCTGGAATAATTTCCAGTGCTGAGATTGAGCGGAAACACTGGCACACGTCTTTACAAAGTATAATTGAGCAATTCTGTCATTTTGTAACTATATAACATCATTTGGCTCCGTCAGTTTAGGAGTTTGTTTGCTTAGTCGGGATCCCCGGCACACTCAAGACAGACGACTAGAGCGATCAGTAACCAGCTAACCGTGACGAACACACACAAACACAAACGCCGGTGATGATGAACTCCAGAATGGAAGAGAGAGATGAGTGTTTTCCAGACACGGACGGGGAGAGACGGGATGAGGTGAGAGAGATTGAGTACCGTGGGTATCAGGTCTGCCGTAGGGCCGCACTTCCCTAAGGTAGAATTGGAATGTTTTACGAAGGGCGTGGAGGTCTACAGGAAGGAAGTAAAGCTACAGTCACTGACAGACACAGCAGAGACCATCACAGACCGGAGGCGTTTTCAGACCTGCACATCAGCCGCTTTTTCCCAAAACAGGGACGTGAACCGTTGGATTTTCTTCTTGGTTTGGTTTGCTTTGACAAAACAACATTCCAAAGCGTACTAAAATGATGCATTCTTGTAATACACCATAGCACTTTGAGGATGAAGACGGATTTCAACTGCGATATCTAATCAGAATCGACACATTTCCTATTATGAATTATGATCCAGCTTGGTTCGTTGTTCCGTTGGGTCGAATTGCTTTCTCAGAACAACGAACCAGTCCAACGTTTGCTTTCAATCGGGCTGAGGCTGCATTTACACTGGCACAAAAAAATCTGATTTTTTGCTCACATCTGACACAGATAGGAACTTGTTGCACGTGTGTAAACACAAAAATCTGCACGAGATCCGATTTGTTCGCATCCGATCTGTGCCACTTCCAAATTTGGATTTTAATCGGAAACATATCCGATATCTGGACATCCAACCGATGTCTAAACACACATATCTGATATCCGAACTCCTAATGAGAGGGTGATGCGTTTGCCCAAAAAGATACAATAACAAGAGTCCTCACCTTCCTCTCCAGAGCGTCGGGTGAATCAGAGATGAAGCTGATGTTGACCTCCTCCACGTCAGAGCTGCTGGACCCCGCGGACGTCACGCTGAGAGAGTCGCCGCCGTCGCCGGCCGAGCCGCTCAAACCCGGCGGGAAGCGCAGCTGATCGAAGGACTTGGAGTGAGAGCTTCCAGAGCCGCTGCATCCGGCTTCCCCCGAACCCACGGGCTGCCGACTGAGAGACAGACACCATAAACTAGGGCTGCCACGTTCCTCCATTCTCTTCCAGCACTCAATCCTCGACTGCATTTAGCCTGTGTCGAGTAACCGGCGGAGTGGGGTAAATTCCACGGACGAGAGCCCATGAAACGCATTGTTAGACCGTTTTCCAAGGCTGCATGATATATTAAACCCATTTAAAAATCATAAGAAAGCATATTGCTGTTGTGAATTCGCAAACGCTATGATTCAATTAAATAAATATATGCGATACAGGTTTAATATGTGTGCTTTAATTATTTACAGTCCAACCAAAAATCATTCAGACACCGGATATAATTTTTGATATTTTGTTACTAGTGTGTACAGGACACTATAGTTCATTTATGTAAGCGATGATAGCAAAATAAACTGTGATATATTACACCCAAAAATTCTTCATACAGTGGGCTACCAGTAAAATTTGGGATCAGAAACTATTCAATCACTTTGAGCTGAGCATGTGTTTCTTCAGTGTTTTTCTTTAATTGCTAATGTGATCTTTTTACACCACAGACTGAACAGAATTAAGCACTGCTTGGTAATTAGTTGAGCTACATTGGTTTTATCTAATTATGTTCTTAAATTTAACAGCTGACAGCTATTCAGCCGAATTCATTACATACCTTTCTATCAAAGTTATCTGACATTATCAAGATCAATTTGTTCTGACAGTTTAACTCTGAGCTCGTCATATTTTATTACAATTTTCTCAACTATAGCGAATAAACTGTGATATAATGTGAGAAATGTTGAAGGTGCCTGA